CGAACCAGGGAACTTTGATTCAGTTGACGTTTTCAATAGACCCAGGTTATGACAACATTCCAAATTGAAGGATATGTGGCTGATGCTAGCTGTATTCTCTGTTGGGCAATTTGCTCAAATAGCAACACTTTTTCTCTATGAGACTTTTAAGGAATAAACACTTGCAAGCTCTAGGTGCTTCTTTTCAGGTACATTACGACGTGTTCCATCATAATCTTCATACTGCCTGTACTTGTTATTTTTTATTGCTACTATCAAGTATTCTGCAAACTGCGGGAGGCAGCAAAGGTAAAAGACACTGTTTGCTACATTTCTCGTTAGTAAAAAAATGAGATTTTAAGGGTTCACGACGCTTACAACGTTCCACAGCAACAAGAGCTCCTTACCAACGTGTTACACGCAGCGTTCAACGGGTTGTGTTATTCCATCTTCTTTGTTGGTTGGTATAATTACTATTTATATCGATGCAATGATATATTGAAGCGAATTGGCAGGAAAATTTCATGGTACAAGTTACCGACGCAGAAGGGTCGACACCTTAATTGCATTAGACTACCGGAAATATTAAGCCTGCAAGAAAATTTGTGCACAGTGGTGAAAACTACTTTATGAAGAGATTTTCTGTGCTCCGCCATGTTTTATAAAATCTAAGCTTTCTTAGAATATGATTGGTCTCTGCGGCAATACACGTACCATGGCATAGCACTGAGAACTCTCTAAGCAAGCAAAATTCATATAAAAGTGGTTTTTGTAGAAAAGAAGTCGCGGTGTCGAAAATGCTATTTGTCGTCGTAAATCTTATTTCGAGTCCTAAGTAAGAAGTTTGAAATAACTGGAAAAAAACTATGAACACTTCTTTAGGGAGTAAGGAAAAAGCGTTCAAACTGTATACATCCGGTCAACTGCAAAAAAATATAGGTTAATGGTTTGGAAAAAGTCATAAATGCATTAACTCAATACAAAGACCAGTATGGGAACGCCGAGACCCCCTTACCTGCGAATGTTGTCTTAAAGAAAGCAGTTAACTGATCAACTAAAGCGCTAACCAGCTGATTAGCGTGCTCCATTGCTATCATGCTGCTCTATCATGGTTTTATGGCGCCATCTAAATTTACGTAGCTGGCTGCGCGGGCGGTTCGCGTCGCGGAAGGTCCATTACGCAGCCATTGGAGTCTATATGGAAAATCACTTTGGAAACATCTTCCACAATAGTGAAAAATTCAGTTATCTTATCCAGTGGATCAGAGGACTTATTCTAGTAACTCCAATGTGTGGCAGTACCTGTTTCCAGTGGATAGCAATGACGATGCAAAAGAAGGAAATACTTCACCAACTTAATAGAGTTTGATAAGTAGGATTTAAAAAAAACAAATGGTTTATAGATTCAACTTTAGTCTCTTCAATCTCCAATTTTCAATCTTCAACTTCACCTGAATCTATATCGAATATTGGTCTATAACTTCAACCAACATCAAACTCAGAGCGTGCGTGGAAGGCTTTTCGTTATTTCAGAAAGCCCAAGAGCTCCCGAAAATGGCTTTTTGCTGTATTATAGCACGAAGAAATAACGAAGGCCAGGGAAAGAAATGGATGTATGGCAGAAGACGACAAAAGAAATTGCTTGCAGAGAAATACCTTATTTTGCCCAAATACTGCGGCACTTTTTGTGTAAGCAAAAAAGGAAAGGACAGGAAAAAACACAAATTTTAGTGCCTGAAAATACCTTGGATGAATTCAACAAGAAGGTGACAACTGTTA